AATTTTACATTTATCTCCAGAAAAATAAGCAAAACAATATAAAGATATGGGGATAAACTCTGCTTTCACTTGCATCAGTAGGAATTGAGTTTCTTCAACAGAATAGCTATTGATTCAAATTGATGCAGCTGGGAGTAGGATTTGTCCTAATGCCCAGAGTTCTTTTTCTCAGTTTTTGAAATGAAATACTCTCTCCATACAGGGAACAAACATATACTTTCATTGTGGATTATTTGAATCTTAGATTAAGAAAAAGAAAACTTAATGGTAAAGCCCTTTTCAGAGCAGAGTGCATGTGGCTGTTCATGTATGTGTCCTCTCTAACACACTTCAACTGCTCATCTTACAAAACCACTGCCAATCCCATTTTATTTTCTTTCTACTTGATCTCCTACAGAAAGACAGAGCCCTTCAGAATGTAAAGGCACAGCATGGAGAAAGCAAAGGCCTGACAATTTGCATGCAGACAGGCTCTAGTTCTCTTTGAATGGGTGGAAACAAAAGAAAAAACATACCTGCAAAAATATCGAACCTCAGAAATGTTCCTGAAGTCCCTTCAGAGGAAAGGAGTTGATTTTGGAGGAGTTGAAAGTAGAAACGGAGAAAAGCTTAGAACCTGCTTCTCTTGAATTGTAGTTGCTCTCAGGTCTGACAGGTTGGGATTGTGAGGATATCACCAATGTTTAAGTAAAATATATCTGGATTTGCAGGGTTTGTAGAGCTTGGAAAGATAGGTGACTATCACCCCTCTGTGACAGGTGAAGAGTCTGTTTAACAAAAAATGTGAAAAAAGAAGTTGCCCAAAGTGAAATAATGCTTAAGGGCAAGCAATAAATTGCAGATTTCCTGATCCTGTAGATTAGGTCCTGTATCATTTAATAATGTTCAAAATGTTTGATAACAATGCATATAACAACAAACTGTTGCCAGGAGCCTGAGTAGAATAGAGAGATCAAGGGGAGGCCTTGTACAAATTTTTTTTTAAGCACTTTGGTTTTTTTTATTCTCATAATTTATCTACAATCATTCCATTATATGATCATAATTACTTGTCTGAAGTCTTAGAGACATCATGGCAGAAGATTGTCTTCAGAAAGACTGTAAGCCACAGAACAGTAATGTGGCTTTTGAGGGCAGCAATTTTATGGGACAAATCAGCACAAGGCAAATTCTTGAGAAATTTAAAAATCCTGTTTGGCTCAGTAGCCTTAAATAGAGAAAAGTAAAATACAGACTGAATTCTGAGCTCACTTCATTTTTTATAAATAAAATGGTTCTCAGTTTTCCAAGATATAGTGCCAGCACTTGATGTCACTTGGAGATTTCAAAAACATTAATTAATGATTGACTTTTCATGGAAAGTTTTTTTGGGGCAGCCCAGTAAATACCAATACAGAGATGAAAAAAATCTGCACTTAAATGTTAAAATTCTCTTGAGCCCTTTTGGACCATGTAACTTGTATACTGTGTGTGGCTCTGCAGTCACCTTTTTCCTTGCTGTATGGTTAGGATTTTCTTTTCTGTAACTACAAAATAAAGTTTAAAGTGGTCGCTCTAAAGTAAACTTTGTCACATACTTACTGGTTTAGTCAGTACCTTTGTATTGTAGCTGAATGTGTGTGGAAAAGAATGAAAGGTCATGTCCATCATGAAGTGTTAAAGTTTAATAGTAAAGCTTGTCTTCGAGATTTAGAAGGAAGGTAGGTCTTGGTAAAAGCTGCTTTTAATGAGTTGTTGTAGTGTAGGAAAATAGAATAGAAGAGATATTGAAAATAAATCCTGGATTTTCCCCCTGTGTCCATGGTCACTGTTCTTTACTGTAGAATTTTCTTTGTGCTTTACATTACCTTTTTTTTTTTTTCACTGCCAGGAATCCATAAACTAATTGTTGTTTTTTCATAGTGTCTGGTGCCCTGGAGATATAAAATACCATGAATAAACTGTATCTTGAAGTCTGTGTGTGCAGTTTGGCTTCAATAGCCCTACTTTCTGCATATTGTGTTATATTGTATTTTATTCAAGTAATTGGAATAAAACTATTTTCATTACAAGATTCTACTCAGTCCAAATAAGAATATTAAAAGTTGTGCTTCTGCAAAATTTTTGTTAAAGAGTCACAAGGATCTCTGCCCAGGGGTGGTCTGAAGAGATCTAGAGTAGGTCTTCCATCAGGCCCATGGGATTTTTTGTTTGGTTTTTTTGTTTGTTTTTTTTTTTAGGCAAATGTTTGCATTTCTTAGTTGCAACAAAGTGTTACACTACTTTTAGAAGGGTTATATTCTCTTGGCTCTGGGAGAGGCTGGCAATGTTCTCGGGATGAAGGCAGCATCAGTTTGTTCATTTCACTCCTCTCTCCATCAGGCTAAAGGCCACTGGCAGTTTACAATCCTTTGCTTCCTGAATCTTATCCCTTTCCCAGTTTACTCTCTTATTCTTAGCCCAATAAATGGGTCTTTTCCTTCAAGCCCCAGGAAAGGCAATGGTGAAAGGCTTTATCTCCTTTCCCTCTTAGGAGAGATCAGAAACATTTTCTTGTTCTGTGGGAGAGATTAGTTGAGCTTCCCATCATCTTCTTCCCCACTTGCAAGTGGGGAAATCTTTGCCTCATTAAGCCCGTAGGGTTCAATTCACTCTGCTGAATTGAACCTCTAAATCCCTTCTAAATCCCTTCCTCTTTGGTGGTGGTGGTGATCTTTTCCATTAGACAAGGTGCAGCTCTTCATCTTACCTGCTCACGCTATGCCTTGACGAAGGTGAACTCTTCTCAGAGCAGCCACCATTTTCAAAAGAAGTTTGATGTATTGATGGTGATTGAAAAAGCTGTATCAGAGGTTGTCCGGGAGGTTGATGACAGGGCAGCACCTTGCAAAACCACAGTATCAGTATCCAGGTTACCTGGTCAGTAGACAGTATTTGAGTCTTCGAGGAAAAATTAATCACTTGTTCTTTGCTAATTGCTATGCAGGTAAAGATAATTATATGCTTGCCAGCAAAAGATTCACTAAAACAGTGTTCAGAGATCACTTACTTCACATATCAAAGAAGTGGTAATCTGTGCCAGCAATGCTTTTACCTGAAATAAATCTCTGTTCACTGAAACCTCTCATATTTTTGGGGTAGCGTTAGAGAAGAAAGGTTGGTTGTTTTCAAATGGCATCTGAGTTCATGCATCTCCTGGGAGCAGCAATCCACTTACCTCATGTTCCAGCGTAAAAATAAAGATAATACTGATGTCTTGAAGTCCATCCGAATGAAGCATAACAGCACTTGAAACTGCGTGTTTCATGCAGTACATGAAACTGTTCCTATCTTGCTTACATTTAGCAGAGTCTAAAATTTACCATTGTGGTGAGAGGAAAACCAAGATGCTTACAGTTGCAGTGCCAGTAATTGAACTACAATTCATTACATTAGCTCTTCAGCTACAGAACTGTTTTCTTTCCTTTCCTAATAACAGTGTTGTCGTTTGATACCAAGGGATTTGGAATAAGGAGAACAAATGTCAAAAAAAGAAGTGTATTGAAGATACAAGGAAGTTGTGATGTGTATTTTGGTATGAGTAAACTTTGAAATGGAACGTAAAGCAGGAATCAGAAAGGGCTTCTCTGAGAAACTGAAATACATATGGCCATTTTAAGAAAAAGGCATTTAGATACCAGGAGACAGGAGTAAATCCAGGAGAGGAATCCGAGATGGCCCTCAAGTACAAGAGGAGAGGTTTCTTTCTTATTGCTGAGATTTGATAGTGTGAGTGTAGTAAAGTTAGGGTAACAGCCCTGAAGGATGGAGTCCTGTGCCCACCAAGCATATATATAAGGTAGTAACAATAACAGAACTGTCTCACACCCCTTTAGTATATGTCAGGTTTTTCTCTAAGAAGGTATATTTGCATACAACATGGCCATCTACTCTCTGTTGTTGTTTCTTCCTTGCTTTTTCTATTAAGACTGTCAGCAGAGCTTTGCCAATTTTATAGTATTGATGGCTAGTAAATGCACTGGCTTCCTATGTGATGCATGTTACTTTTGCCTTTCTGCAACAGTTTTGGATCTGTGCGGTACAACTAATATACCTTCCTAATTGTTGACACCAGCATACTGTGCCTCTCCTTGTTGAGTGTTTGAAGATGCACTCCAACTAACTCTATATTGTACAGTGGCGAGAATTTCTGGCAATGTTTAAATCAGTAGTGTTAAATGCGGATATCTAATGTGAAGATGTTCTGGGCATGTATTTTACAGTCTAAGGTAACTGAATATGGTTGTTACTTGAACGACATGAGGGAAACTGTCAGAGGAAGTGTTATGGCTAGTACAACAGGCTTTGCCTTCTCTTCTCTTTCAGTCAGTACCTGATGGAAAGTTTTGGGAAAACACTATGTAAGCTGTGTTATTGATTAGGCACTGCTTGGTGTGTGATGTAGAAAAGCAAAAGACTGGCTGCTTCTGTCTTTCAGATATTTTAGCAATTAGGTTCCCTCAGGTTGTCAAAGTCAGCTAATTAAACTTTTCTCCCTTCTAATTCCATTCATCTTCTAACTGCATTCTGCCTGCTGGATCTCACAGTTATTTGTTTTGGGGTGAGGGCTGTTTGTTTCCCAAGCAGAATAACAGAACAAAACAGTTGGTGGGATACAGGCTGCCTGTGGCTATATTTCAGATAACAAGTGACTAGTAATAATCAGTAGAGATGTTGCTCAAATAACTATTTATCCACATCTCCTGATTTTAGTTGCCTTATTTCTCACCTGTCTTCTGTGATGTTTTACGGGAACAAATGAGTCACTGTCTTCAGCTGAATGCTGTAGAGTGTGAAACACAGTGTTTATATTGAAGCAGAGCCAATGAAATGCGTCCTGACAAAGCTCAAAATGATGCTTCTGTGTATTCTTCAGTGCCATCTACCGGTATAATTGCCCATTAGAGATTTATAGGCAAAGAACATGCTCCTAATTGCCAACAATTTAAAAACATTTGTTTCTTTTTTTTCTTTTATTTTAGGAGCAAGGCAAGATTGGTGTAGTCTTCAATATTGGCACAGTGGATATCTCTATTAAAGAGGAAAGCACACCTGTAAATGATGGCAAATACCACGTAGTACGCTTTACCAGGAATGGTGGCAATGCCACACTTCAGGTTGACAGCTGGCCAGTGAATGAACACTACCCCACAGGTACATTTTTTTTTATTTTTATTTTTTCTCTATAAGTGTATCTGTATCTATAAACTAATGTTTAATAACAACTGGTTGCTATATAAATCTTTATTATTTCATCTCTAAAATAAATTGACCAGCCTGGTGGTGCATATTCTGTCTCTTGGAAAACAAATTAGTGGTGCTTTACACCAGAAGAATAAGCCTGCCAACTGTGTGGTATGATGCACATAGATCATACTATTTCAGAGGCCTCTAAGTGAATCCTGATTCTGCATGGTTACAAACTCATACAACAACAAACTTAGTTTTGCTACTTGTGATATTTTCTAAATATTTATGGGAGAAAAGTTTTGCACACACCTTACAAGAAGGAGAGGTGACTAGTGGCATCCCGATACTATGTTTATAGATATGGAGTTGAAATGTAAGGAATGTTGAAGATTAAGCAAGTATTTGATCAGACCTTATGCTTGCCTCCTAATTTTTCATCATCTGAATTTCACTTTTTCTTTTAGGTTTCCAAATACAAAAGTCAACATCTAACCATCTAACCAAAACTGACAACTCTTAGTTAACTTTAAGTCAAAATGCAGTGGAACAATTCATTATCTCTGGAAATTATAATTCTAAATCCACCAGAAATAGTGAACAACTGGCTCTTGAGACACTCTTGAGACTCTTGAGGTCGCGTGTTTTATCCCAACACTGGCAAATCACAACCTCATGATACTTTGTGTCACTATGCTAAAAGGTCAAAATCACTCCAAGTGAAAAACAGATTGTTGTATATGATGCTGACAGTGCATAAGATGGCTGAGCTATGATGATGTGTGTGGTTACAAAAGGCAGAATGGGTATAAGGAAAGAATTCCAGTGTTAACCACATTCTTCTTATTCACATGTTTTTGCCTAAATTCAAGCCGTGATCTTGTTGGTTTCCAGTATAAAGTCTAAGCAACTTTCAGTTCTTCTTTTCAAGGTTGTACAGTACTAACTCACTAACTAACTAGTTGATTAGGAGTTGTTCAAAAGAAGCAAACTCAAATTACAGGAAATACCCTAACTTGATGTTATATACTAATTTACGTGATGTTACACTAAAGAATTACTCTAAGAGGATGATTTAATCTCTTCCACTCCCTCAGAAAGTGCACAGGAAAGTTTCCTAATGTGAGGAATCTATGCTATGATGCTCTCTACTGCATATTTAACAGGGCCCTTTATCAGTGTTTTGGTGAAGTGTATTAACTTCAATTATTAACCTTTTTTCTGTGAACAAAAATCTTTTTTAATAATGCCATGACAGACATGCTGAGTTAGATTCTAGTTCTGCTATCTATTGGTTAGAGAGGAAAGTGGGCTAGGAAAGGCCCAACTGAGAATCTTTCTTCTGCTTGTGTCATCAATTATTTTGTAGAATTCCTCCAATCCAGTTGGCAGCCAATTATAGTCACTAAGAACCCTATGAATAAAGTTTCTTCTTACAGTACTTACTGTAGTAAGTCCCTCGTGTAAAGAAACAAAATATTCAACTCAATGCTTTAGAGATTTTTTTGGTTTTTTTTAAAAAGGGAAAATAAATCACACTCAAAGACTACCTCAGTACTTTCTGCTTCTGCCTTGGATAAAGATATTTCTGTGTTTTCATTAGAAGATTTATGGTTTTATGGAATCATCATTAATCTCATGTTCTGGGCTAGCATTGAGTGTATGCAGTTGTACCCTGAGAAGAAAGGACACCTTTATCTTCCAGACACCTTTTCCTTTCTGCGCATGTATTTCAATTTCTGTCTGTTTGTAGATGATGAATTTTTCAGCCTCTTTCTGTGAAAATAAGGCTTATGGGATCATACTGTGTGTGTCTGCAGGTTTCTCCCTTATTTTTTCCCATTTATTTCAAACCAATATTTTAGCTGAATTTAAAAAGGGGCAAAAGTCAAAAAAAGTAAAGATCCCACATGGCTATGGAAAAAAGGAAACAAACAAACAAACAAACAAAAAACAAGGGAGAAGGACAGTGTTCCAGGTCTTCCAGAGGAAAGGACTGTGGGTTGATCTCCATTCATATTAAATACCAGAATATCCATAAAATACAGCAGCATTAGGAATGCCTCAGATTCAGGAAAAGATTCAAGGAGCCAATAACTACAGGAAACCAATCCCTATTAATCCCGTTTTCTGTACAGTTAATGATTTAAAAAAAGGACTAAGCAGTAACTTTTGAAATTAATTATTTCTTGTCTTTCACAGACCAAATTTGTATTATAGTTTCTTGTACTGAGTGCAAGACCAAACCTGTGTTCAGTAGAAATTCAGTTCTGTAAAACACTTTGTGGCTGGATGGACCCAGGCTAATCCAGTGTGTTTCAACTGGAGACTGCTGAAACTGCGATTCGTGTCAGACTTGTGTAGTAGTAGATGAGGAATCCTGTACATTTTGCATAGGAGCAGGTCAATTCTGGAAACACACTTATTTGTACTGTCTAAAAAATGTTGTATTTGTAGCACATACATACTTGGACACACTGTGTTGTCTGTAAAATGAACAATTTCATGTGCACTTGGTTTTCCACACAGTGCTGCAGCCTAATGCTTGCAAATTTTATAAACTAGCTAATGTATCTTCCTTGTCGTCACATGTGGTACAATCTTTAGGATGCAGGGCTGCATTATGAATGGCATTTCCACGCTCCTCTCTGAGTTTTATTACTTGTACAAGGATTATACATTCGACTCATAATTACTTGTTCAATGAAAAGCACAAATAAAAGTTGGATATTCATTAAATGAGCAAAGTCAGAGAATATTGGCTTTTCTTAAAACATAGTCTTCAGTTAAGTTGAAATTAACTGAAACTAGCCCAATGGGACCAAATTGTCCAAAGCTGTATTTTTGAAACTTAAACAAAAAAGACAAGGAAGTTAAAGAAAATGAAATAGCGACAGACTTACAATTTAGGCACTAATGTTTTGGTTAATATAGCATCCAGTTGCATTTCAGCGACCTGCAACACGAGCTTTATGCTTTCTTGTGAGGACAAGGGATAGAGAGAAATGGTAAAAGAGGGAATTAGTTTGGAGCTAGGGTTGGCTAAACTTTGCAACTGAAACAATCCAAATCATTACAGATGATCTCTCATCATTAGTGTCATTGCAATGCTGCTGGAGTTTCTCTTACTGGACAGTAAGACTGAACAGTGGCCCAGTACAGGTATCTAAGACAAAGTTCCTGAGAACTGGGACATGGCAAATAGTAGCATTAGTACTGAGGCTGCTATCTGCAATTCATCTGTCATGGTTCAGCCAAAACCATTGAGCTGTTTATGATTTATTTGCATTACTTTCTCCCTTTCTGCTCTCTCTCAAGAACACAATAAGGAGACAACTTTTTCCATAGGCAGTACTGATATCTAACTTCGTGATGCTTGATTCATTAAGTTGGTCACCACAATGTGTTTCTCAGTCAGGGTATAAATCTCTTGCTATGCTCTAAGGTACAGGTGCCATGACTACTTCTCTTCTGTTGTCTCACAAGCTTTCATCCTTTTGTGTATATCCCAGAACACAGGCTGGGCTTGGACACTGTTATTTTCTTGCTTTTATGGTCTTGGTGAGAGCCTTCTCTATATCTAAATAAATATTTTTAGTGACGAAATTGGAGTCATTTTGGATGAAGAGTTTAGGAGGAGGAAGAATCTGACATGGTTTTGTTTCAATTAGAATAAACCTATCAAATTTTAGGCAATTAGAGAAATTTTCAGAATAGTTAAAAATAAATCTGTCTTCACAGAAAACTGGGATGTTTCAATCCCTAAATTTTCATTAGTTCTTAGACATGAGATTTTTTTTCTCTGTTCACTCACTTTTCTTGCAAAAAAATACTTTGTGTGTTGCCAGATTTGTAGTGTGAGTCAAAACAAGCCTGATATTCCTGTTCATTCATCCATGCACTGGCTACATTTTCTACAGCAGAAAAAAACCCCCAAACTAGTTGAAGAGAAGCTGTAGAGTAAGAGTATCCGTGATACCAAAATAAAGTCTAATTGGAGTAATGTTTTAAAGGAGAAGATTAAAGGAAGGAAGGCAAGAGGCAGGAAGGAGTTGTCATTTAAAGAGGTGCATGATTTAGCAAGACAGCTGTAGCCTGTATTTTTTTAATGCATTTTAAAAATAAGAAATAAGACAGCATTAAACAACTGGATTCTTATCTGGATTCATTAGTTCATCCACACACTACATATTTTATATTTTTCCCCTTTATCATTCTCTTGAGTGATCTCTCAGCCTTCTTGTAGTAGTCTCTGCCCTTTAAAATTACATTAATTTGCATTTCTTTTGCTACTGAATGAAAGAAAAAATAATTCATCTTCTATGCCCCTACTTCATTTGCTCTCTCAAGTACTTTTCTGAGAGAAAGTTGGATTTCTGGAAAAGCTGGACTGTTAGCTTTTGACAGCAGAACTGACTGCTCTGGCTTGTAGTGTGGTCAGATAAGTGCACACCTATAAATCAAAAAATTGAATCTGAGACCCTGATATCTGTGCTGAGGTTTTCCTTCAGAATAGTTCCAGTGCCAAGGACTGGATGTCACTGGACACTTGGGGCATATCTTCTGGTTTAATTTCATTTGAAAGCAATCCAATTTGAACTACATCTTTGGGAGTCTATGTGAGACAGTCTTTGTCTGAAATATTATACTTTCTAGAAACACAGGTTAAAGTGGTAGTGGTTTAGATTCTCCTACCTTTCTAAAATGTGAAAGGCATCAGCTCTCCCTTGCTACAATCTATTTTTTCATTTACTTGGTGGAAAGTTCTGAAGTAGCTTGATTTGTACCAGGCACTTCATGTCTTCCATGTCTTCATGGAAGAAAATTGGCTGAGTTCCTACTTACTTCTTTCAATAAGTTTTCTAGCAAACTGAAGGAGTACTGGGACTATGGAACTTGGTAGTCTGCTTTGAAACAGGTCATTTCTTGTTCTACTCAAGCCATTTATCACCTTTCTCTGGATATTT